TTTGCCTTTGTGTCAGTTTGTGCTTGCATGCATGAATGTGTAATATGTGTGCATATTTGTCATGCAAGAAATGCATTTATGTTGACAAAAATAATAGAAATAATATATAGTATATGGCAACGGGTTTATACAAACAATGATTCAAATGTTTCAAACGACGTTTATGAGAAAATGAGTAATTCTAAAACAACAACGAATGTTCTCGTAATCTTGTTAATTCGTTAATGACGTCATTCAGAATTGTAAGTGGTGGATGGCGTAGGATTTCTAGGTTTAATTAATTTTCTAATTATATTGAACTCTTATGATCTTATGAAACAAATGTTCACCCATCTGCAGCTTTTGTACATTTCTGCGAGTTTGGATCTTTTTTTTATTAGAATTTGACAAACGCAGAAACTTTTACAGCATGCAAGGCAATAGTATAAAATGATAACGAAACATAAATATAGGAGAAGAAATGTGTCGATGTTTTGATAAATTATTTTTGTGTTGTTGTCAAAAATTTGGCGGGTTATTGGAGTTGCATGTGTTAAATGCAAGTGAGATTTGATCGCTCCTATTTGTGTATGCATTGTGAGACGTCTTGATAGTGAAGTTGTCTCGGTCGGTAACACCAATAAATTAATGTTGTTGACGCGCACAGTCGTCAATAGGGCATTTAAATTCATATATTACATGACTACGCTTTAAAGTAGAATCGTCTTTAGGACTGCAGTTGTTTTTTTTATGAAAAATTGAAATAAGGCCTAATCTGCATGATGAATTTGGATAACAACAGTTTCATTAAATTTATTTGATGAATTTGGAGAATTTTATTTTCAACAAATTGAACAATTTCCAGAAAATTTTTGTAAGGAAAATTGAAAATACAAACATATTTAATTGATTAATGCCAACAATTCGGTAGAATTAATACAATACTATATGTATATATATATTGGATATTATTTATTCATTAACTTTTTTTTAAAATTACATTATTGTTACTCCCTCTATAATCAAGTCATTGTATTTAATAACTATAGTACCAGACGTTACAAACATACCGTGGTTTGTAAAAATTTGAAAAAAAGCAAACTCTAATGTAAATAATGTTAGAAATTATACACCAATATCAAATCTTTTGTTTATATCAAAGGTTGTCAAGTGAGTTGTTATGAAGGGTCTGCTAGCCTATTTGTCAGAAATGGTTTGATGCCGATTCATCAGTCAGCATATAGACAATTCCACTAAACTAAGACAGCGTTACTTCAGGTTTTATCAAACTTATTTTCAACAATGGATGTTTAAAACATTTCATTTCTATCGTTTCTGAATATGTCGTCAGGTTTTGACTGTGTCAACCATGGTAGATTTTGAAGATGTTGCGGTACAATTAAAGATTGAATGACACTGTTTTTGCGTGGTTTGAGTCATATTTGGCGGACCGAACAGAGAAGATCTTGTTCAATAATGTGCTGTCTGATGTCAGAATGGTCAAATCAAGGGTACCTCAGGGATCCGTTCACGGACCTATTCTGTTTATATTATATACATCAGATTTATTTAAAATTATCAATACTCATAGATTTGCCTGCCATGCATTTGAGGATGACATTCAAATATTTGTGACTGGTCATCCTGTTTTTTTAAGGATGATATTGATAAATTTTCTAAATGCTTAGCGGAGGTTGGAAAATGGGTGTGATGTCAGCTGCTTCCGGTTGGCACATGGCAGCAGTTAGTAAAATTAAATGTAAATTCCATCACAGTAAATGATGTTAACATACCGTTTATTTATGCTGCTACCAATTTGGGAGTTTTGTTTGATAGAAGATTATCGATGAAGGATCATATAAAGATAATATCAGTTTCATGTATCTCTTGTTTTCAAAATTTATATAGAATTAAGCACTGGTTAGATAGATCAACCATAGAAACTTTGGTGCATGCGTTTGTTACATCTCGGTTGGATTACTGCAACAACTTGTTGTATAAAATACCTGATAAATCTATTGCTATTCTGCAATCGGTTCAAAATAGAGCTGCTAAATTGGTTGCTGGTAAATTGAAGTTTGACCACGTTACGCCAATTTTGAGTGATTTACACTGGTTGAAAATAATTAGTATAACCAGTTTTTACTGTTTTGATTTTTTTATTAAAACTACTTTGTTACTGGTTGACTTCTTATTATTTTCTTTGTGTTGATCTAAACTTGCCTTTATAAGCAGAAGCAGACAACCTACCAATTATATTTTCAATATTCTTAAATGACTGTAGTAGGATCTCATTTTTAAAAGTGACAATATAAAGCAAGGTCGTTGTCGAAACTATTAAATGGATAGCATATGTTCAAAGATCAACGCCTTCATCGTTTATTGCTTGTTTTTTAGCCTAAATTTGTCTAAGTTTTGTTTTTCTTATATATCAAGTACATTCAGGTATGGTTAAAAAAATGGCGTACCAGGGGAGACAGTCGCCCGGAGGGGCAGTTTGTAATCCATATTTGCATGATATCCATATTTTATACTTTAGTTTACATACTTGATAATATTCATAATCTATATTTTAATACAGTTATGATAAATGCATATGAACCGTCAACAGTACCAAATCTAACCTCGACGCTGGACTGCCATAAAAGACTTTTGATTCGTTAAAAACAATTGCGATAGATGGGTTTTTGAAATTTCATAATGTATAAAACCCACAGAAACATTTTTATAAAAAAATTTTGAAATTTATTAATAACGAATTTTTCAATGTTGATGTTCCAAATTTTCATACCTGTCCTGGAGCTCTCCACGCACCGGTGCCGAGGGCCACTCTTTCTATCCTGTTTGATACACCACTGGGATCAAATGAAATAATTTTCGAAATTCAGTTTTATAAAATATTTTGCTAAATAAATATATTGATCCAATAATACAAATACAATAGAACAACAATAAAACAAAAGATGACAAAAAAAACTCAAAGCTGGTCATGTTTATGCTGCAAAATCTTTGTGTAATTGTCACTGTGAAATTAAGATAATATTAAAACCGATGCTTAAAAAATGATTCTTCTTTCCTCAACACTGTTCAGTTATTTTCTAGTTCCCCACACAAATGCAAACAACACTGAGACACTGAAAACACAAAAAACACATTTACAAGTATGCACACAAACTTGCACACAAACACATGCCAAGCAACACTGCACACATACAGATCAAACAACAACTAACACACACGTTGAAGAACACTGCATGGCGCATACATTGCATACATACATACAGACTCTTCAAGCAACCCTGCACACAGACACACACATCGAGCAACACTGCATACACATGCACATCGAACAACACTATATACAGGCACACACATCGAGCAACGCCACACACACAGTCACATTTACGTGTGTTTCAAATTTTTTATTGTAGTTCAAAAAATATTACCGTTAATTAAAATAATTTTGAAATTTCATATTTAATAATAATAGCAACAGTAATAACAGTAGTAGTAATATTTATAATTTTACGGTAACAATAACTTCAAATTGTGTTGGTAACGTAACCACGATAAGAGTAACATGTTGTGAAGCTGCATTTGACTGCCACACATGACAGACTGCCATCATTGAGCCATTGAATCAACTGCCTTGAACAATGTTATCTCAACAACAATCTTCGAATTTTTTATGAAGAGCTTTCTCTTTGTTTTTTTGATTTATGAAAGAAATTAAACAAATTTTTTATTTAACGATTTTTTCACGAGAGCAATTTTCGAGTTAGCTGAAAAGCAGAAGTCTCAAGTTGTCAACTCGCGCTCAATTGATTCGAGTGTTAAGTGTGCTAAAATTTAAAAAAATA